TTAAAATAACAGTAACTACATTGAAAAGAAAGTAAAAGGGATTACAAAGGCTGTTTCAAGGCAAAGAAAATATAAAGAAAACTAACTTAAAAGCCTCAAAACCGCACAGCCATGGAGGCTGCCAGCTTTGGGCTTGAAACAAAAAATGAAAATCCCGTGGAGGAAGGCGGCTTGGGACTCCCTTCTTCAGCAGCTGAAAATGTGTCTTTTATATTCCTCTCCTAGGTCTCTGGAAGCCAGTCAAATGGCTTTAAAATGCCATGTCGGCTGCTGATGTAGCAGCCAGCTCTTGGCTCCTTAATTCGGCGTCATTTTCTGGGGCAATCAGTGGAGGGGGTAGATGCTGTGCTGTCTAAGCTTTGCATTTTTTTTCCTGCTCATGAAGGTGGCCAATGAGCTTGAATCATGAAGCCAACTAGGAGACGAGTCAACTGCCAAAGTGGCATTAACCAGCAGCGTCATTTTCTGGGAGGGGTAGTACAGTTTAGCTGAAATTTCCAGCAATAATTCTTCTTCTTGGTTCGGCTTTTCTCCCCTTCTTCCTTTGTTATGCATCAATAACCTCCCTTCCTTGTGCCATGTCGTGTCCAGCTTATCAACAATGGAGAAGGCCTCTTGTGCAACCCGTGACAGCTTGTGGAACGGCATCAGGTTACAACTTCATTCAAAAGCTCTCGGCTTCATCATGTAGCACCTTGTGGTGCTTTGGCAGCTAGCTTCTTTGTCTCTCCTTGCACTTGCAACACAGGTGGCAACTCCTCTTCATAAAAAAAATATATGCAACTCCTTTGGATCTTCCAAGTCGGTGCAATTTAGATCCAACTCAGCAGTCCATAAGTGCTCTCAATTTGGAGAATATTTGGGTATAACCAGTGGAGTTCACAGCTGGTTTTTCATGCAGAATTTGAGACACTGGTGTGGAGGATTTTTAAGCCTCCAAAGTTAACCAATGATTAGCCATTCTTTTGCCAAGTAAAAAGCCACGTTAGAAGCTTCATCCACCAGTCAATTTGTGGACAGTTTCGGGTTATACACAGCCTCACCGTGGAGCAACCAGCTTGTTCCTTTTCTTTCTCCCCTAAATGTGTGACATGTAGCTGTTTGCTTGCTAACTTTCCCTTTCCCTTTCATGCAAGAACCATGCAGCCTCATTTTGTGACGAATAAATGGCTGAGTTGGCAGGTATATTGTGTGCAAAACAGATGAGGATTACTGCATAATTATGGAGTAAATCGGGCAGTAAATTAGCAGCAGCCAGCACTTCTTTTTGCAGCTCAGGATCCAGTCTTCTAATTTCACTTGCACAATAGACAATAAGAACAAATTAGGTGGAAATTTGAATTAAATTGCTAGATTCAAGCAAAAATTAATCACCTCATCCCCACAGCTTGCTGAAATTCCTCGCAGTTTGCAATTTTCGCACTTTGATTTGGTCTTCTCTAATGCCAGCAACCGACTCTTATTGCGCAAATCCCCATCTGATAAGGAGGCGTCTGCAATAACCACTTCGTCCTGTGCACTCAAGCTCGTCTTCTTTATCTTTCTTCCATTTTTTTTTCCCTCTTTCTTCTTTCTAATTTGACTTTTGATAGAGAGAACTTTATCAATTTTCCATAGGCTTTTTGCTCTTCTCCCTTTTCTGCCAAAAATTTTTCCCAGCCCTCTTTCTCGACCACTTTTCTCAGCTATTCCACTTTCCTCTAACGGGCTCAAACACTCCATTTCTTCTTCAAGCCCACCAAGGTCTAGTCTACTTTCATTTTCACGTTCCTTATTTACTGCCTCATAGTGTGGGCGTTCACAGATCCGTTTCCTTCCTTGCAGCCTGCATCGTCCACAGAATTGGGCCCTCCAATTCTTCTGATTCAGCCACTTTCCATACTAGTCCCAATAGAAGCCGCCCCTCCTGCCTTTGAATCAACTGAACTCTTATATACTCCAGGTTGTCATTCACTGTCATTTTTTGACTTAGCAAACTCGCCATTGCTCGCTTTCACGCCGCCTTTCTCCTCACTTTCCAAGGAGTAATTCTCAGCTTCTGCTCCCCCAATCCCACCACTCACATTTAATTCATCGTCCATGTCCTCACTTTTCATGTCTTCCTTCATCTTCCAGTGCTTTCAAACTCTTGTCGGAATCGGATTCCGCCTGCTGCCTAATCACACTTCGATTACTGCCATTGAAAATTTTACAGCAGCAATGAAATAACGACACAAGTTTCTCTCCTACTTCTGTCACAACCACTTGAAACTTCCTATCGTTACAATCTAACTCTATAGTCTCATCTATGCTGTCAATTTGATTCGTCGTTACCATTATCGCGCCTTTGCTGAAATCTTCGTCATACAATGGTGTCTTACCATCCGGGCTTACAAGATCGCCCCATAAAGTTGCAATATTCAGGAAAGTGGTGTGATTCCAAGCATGTAAGGATTCCATAGCATACCACCCAAGTCATTCTGTACTTCATTACCACATGTTCGGGCCATTCCACGACATCCACAAACCATTCCTTTAACCAGGCCCACTTAAGACCTTTCATAGTTTCCTTTGTTTCTTCATCTTCAAATTCAATGAGGAATTGCCTTCCAGAGATCTTTTTTACAATTGTATCAAAAACCCCTTGCATTAAGTTCTTCATTAATCTATGTGTCTCATAGTATCCTCCAGCTGTACCCACCAAACACTTCTCCAATCTAATGCCTCCTCCTCCACCAGTCCATAGCACGTTTTTGGTCTGTGACATTCTTCCGCAGCAGCATCTGATGGCCCTCCATCTCCACCTGAAAAAGCTTCGACATCAGACTGACTTTTTAAATTATTAGACAGGACATGAGCATATGTTTTCTGCATTTTCAACCTTTTCAACCCACGTTCCCCCTGTCTTGTAGGTTCATTTTCTATACCTTTACCTTATTATTCTGCCTCTCACTTCGTCCAAAGTCTGTCATTCCTGTTCTCCCAAAGACCTGTGTCCCTTGTGTTCTTACTTTTCTCCAATATTCTGCTCTCCCATTGTACTTTGCTAAGTTCACTCTTATTTGGCAATCCAATAACCAAGCACTATTCAATCTGTTTATAGCTTTCCGTGCCCCATCCATATTCCCAAATCGTACAAAGTCGTATCTCGTTCCTCTCCAGCTTTTCTTCATAGGCAAAAACACGTCAACAACTTCACCATGATTCTGAAACACCCTCCGTAACCACCTCCAATGTACTCTAGCAGGAATGTCGTTTACAAAATTCGTGACTATTCTGCTTGCCGCCATCACAGATACTCACCCCTTGTATACGAACACTATTAATGATGGTACAGATTCCCCTATGTACTACTAATGATGGTACCTCTATACTACTAATGATGGTACAGATTCTCTTTCACAGGAAGAGCTTAGGCTTGAACTTGCTGATGAGTTTTTTTTTTTAATTAATCAATCCATAAACATTTGCCTTGAGTTTGACTCCTTATTAGGCATCTTAAAAGTGCTCACTCCTTCCGATTGAGCTGGGAACATATTATGCGTCAGTGTGTAGTTCCCAACTTGCAGATTACGCTGCAAGAGTTCCAAATAAACCCCGCAGACCAGAAACTTGATCACTTCTATTGGGTTATGTCTTGGGCCTCTGTTCGCAATTCATCTTATGGTTGATTTGCTGCTGAATTTTTTCTTCATAAAGCGGCAGCTGGTTTATATCATTAACTGTGTTCAAATCCCAAAGTTATACCACCCGAGCTTTTAGCAAATGAAAGTATTCGGTACCAATTATCTCTTGCTCTCAACATTATCTCTGAAGCTATCAAACATAGGCTCAATGGGATGCAGCTGAACTTGCTCAACAGCGTGCTTGTGTGGCACAAACCTGATGGGTGGCGTACCTGATGAGATGAACTTGAAGGAAGCTATTGAGGCCTATGCACAGCGACATCGTTTACCATTTAAGCCTAAATTTGGGAGGATGCATGATGGGCAACAGACATACAGCTTTGGTAACACAAGTATAATAGTCGACTCCTTTGATGAAAAGGTTTATGCCCGAAAGGATCAAGGTTGGTCCCTTCTTTTGCTTTCTGATTTGGCGAAGATGCGCTATTGATTCCCTTTGAATAGTCCAAAAGGATAAAGGACATGGCCTAATGCAGAATTTTTTTCTAGTGTTGTCCAGTTATAATATTATATTAGCACTGTTAAATAATTTATTGATAAATATAATATATATATATCTTAGACACAGCTAAATAGTTTATTAATTTTATCAATATAAAGAATATTCAGAAGAAAATTTTGAATTTGTTCAAAAAAGTCTTCCTTTAAAATCTTTTGTTTTTCAAAATTTTGGGATGGTCAATAAAAATTTCTCTTTTAATTTTTTTAAAAAATTTTTGAGATAGTCATAAACACTTCATTTACCGCCGCCACTTAAGCGGTTTCTCACTGTAATTCTGAAGTCTACTGTCTTTATGATTATTTATCGGGTTTTTTTTTATAGGTTCTATTTTGACTTTTGAGGCTGTGCAAACAATTTGTTTATCTGTCATGGCTTCCATGGATTTATAATTCTGTCCTAAAGAGTAACCCTGCAGTTCAATAGTTGCACATGGAGACATGATTTGTTTTTCCACGGGTAATCAAACAAAAGACAATACTTGTTTTTGTACGAGTTCTAAATCCTAGTATAAAATTCTAAATTATTCAAATGTATAGAACACAATCATGTATTATGGACACAATGATTAATACAAGAATATTGGAACTTGACAGGCAACAAACAAAAAGATAGTGGGAAGAGACAAACCGGTGTAACAGAGAACATGTTAATAAATCAGTTTTGAGTTTGCTGGAACAATTTTCAAGTGATAAGACAATTGGTCCAAGTAATTAACAGCTAATTATACAACAAGAGAAATAATTACAAGTTATCAGAAGTGCCCGGACAATGCCAAGAACATCTGAAATTTTGAGCTTCAGCAGAGAGGTATTGGTTAAGGAAGTGATTTTTTTTTTTAACCTTCAATGTTGGTCGTGTTTTTGTTAAGGAGCATTGAAGATACTGTTTTAGAGCTTAACATAGAAAAATTTTGTCCATCCAATCCACGCCATTTCAATGTTCTAAACCAGGCAGACCAGCGTCTGCAGCTGAAGCACCTCCTGGACCGTGTGACTTAAAGCCCTGGTCCCAAAATATCAAACCACATGCTTTGACCGATCCGGACTCTCATGATCTCATCTTCATGTAACCCGACCGTTTCCCTATCTCCGTTTCCTCCCTCAAATTTCTTGGAAAAAGAAAAGAAAACCGCTAGAAAATTAAACTAAAAAAAAACCAATAATTTTTTTTTAATAATTCACATTTAATAAACCCAAAAAAGAAAAAAAAATCCCGCGCAATTCCCTTCTCACTCTCTATCCCAATCAAATTCCCCAATCTAGGTCTTAAATTAGAGCTTTCTTTTACTGATTCTTGAATATTCTTTCGTTTTAATTAACCCTAGGAATAACATTTGGGTGACCCGACCCTGAATTCTTCATGGAAGATAAGCGTGGTGGTGGAGGAGACCGTAGTGGGGGTGGTGAGCCCTCGAGAGTGGTGGCACCGAAGGTGATGAAGGCTGGTGACCGGCAGGTTTTTACCGTTGAGCTCCGACCAGGAGAGACCACGTATGTTTCGTGGAGGAAGCTTGTCAAAGACTCCAACCGGGCCAATGGATCTTCTGCCGCTGCCGCTGCGGCTGTTGTGGCGGCGCCAGCGCCTGAGCCGCCTCTCAATGCCCACCCTAACCTCCAGTCTCGCATCGCCCCTGTAAGAGCCGCTTCTTCAATCCCTATTTTTCCGTAATTGCATTTTTTACTTTTAAATTTATTTATTTGAATGTTTTTTACGTGCATGCTTACATGAAATTTGACTTAGTAGTTTTCTGGCGTTTTGTATAAGAAATTGTGCTTTGAATATTTTGGTGTATTTGAATCTGTTAGTATTGTTTGGTTGCCAAGAAAATGTGAGAAAGTGAAAGAAAATCTGGTAATTGCTTTTTTCGTTTTCGGCCATCCTTAATCATGCTTGACATTATCCAGGGAGAAAAAGATGAAACAGAAGGGAAAGATGAACCACCTCCAAATCGTTTCAGTGCTGTTATTGAGAAGATTGAACGTCTTTACATGGTATTTGTATGTTTTATTACGTCTGTGAGCTTTGTGAGATGCAGTTTGAATTGTTTATGTTAATGTGAAGTAAAATTCTTCCTCAGGGTAAAGATAGCAGTGATGAGGAAGAACTGGATGAAACTCCGGATGATGATCAGTACGATACAGAAGACTCTTTTATTGATGATGCTGAGCTGGTTAGTACTAAAAAAAATCTATTACTTCTATTTTTAGCCTGCCTATGTTGGTTTTACTCAACGGTAGCTGGTGCTTTTCTTCTTGTAACAAGGAGCATTTAATGTATTTTTATTGCTATATGATGTTGCTTCATTGCTTGTTATGCAGGATGAGTATTTTGAGGTTGATAATTCGGCCATAAAACATGATGGATTCTTTGTTAATAGGGGAAAGTTGGAAAGAGTGTGAGTTTCTTTGGACTGTTTTCATTCTTCTTCTCCATTGGTTGGTGACAAAGCATTAGTAATAATTCTGTTTAGATGGCTATTCATATGTATCCTATGGGATACCAAAAGCAACCATACATCTCTTGTCAGTTAAAGCTAGGTTAATTTATGTGTTATTTTCTCTTAAATGGGCTCAAATTTGGCTTGAAGACCAAAACAAAATGGGATCCACAGTTAGGCTTGCAACTTTAATTCCTGATATCATGAACATTGCTACGCTTATTATGTACTATAGTGGTTGTCAAGGGCCCCTTGCTAGTCTTGTCTGAAGTAACCTTATATGCTTTTTCATGTTGACAGTTCATTATTAGTTGATTTCTTTTATTTCTTTTTCCTTGTTTTTTCAAGAAATGAAACTGCCGTGATACCTAACCAGCTGCCCAAGAAAAGGCGAAGAAAAGATGCTTCAAAACCTCCTGGCGAGAGTGACGATGGTCGTATGTCAAATAAACATTTAAGGGCAACAAAGATTACTGCAGGGATGGCTGAACCATCTCTTGGGAAGAATAATTCTACTTCTTCTCTGAAATTGACTGCTTTACATGAACGATATGGGGATATAAAAGCTCAGAATCCATTATCAGTTTCTGGTGTTTCTTCCAAGAAGAAATCTTCTGAGACAAGACTAGCATTGGATTCTTCTTCATATTTGAAAGTTCCAAATGGTGATATTTCTGTACATTTGGAAGATGTGAAGGATATTGAGAAGTCAAAGATGGTATTTCTGCAGTCAAAAAATGTTGTCCGTAAGAAATTGAAAGATGCAACTGGATCCTCAGATGTTTTGCATCAGGGATACCATGGTAAAAATCCTTACGCTCAATCCAAATCTCAACATGGAAAACCAATCAGCAATGTTGATGAGCTTGAACAATCAGTTCGACTGAGAGAAAAAAATGGCATCCGTGAACTGCCTGATGTTAATGTTTCAGATGGCAAACATGCTATGCGGACAGCAGTAAGTTATTCTATTAAATATTCAACTTTGTTTTGATAATTTGTCCAATTTTTCAGTTTTCCATTGACTGGTTTCTTGTTAGTCATAATTAATAGCTGCATAAACTAGTTTGAGTTTGACATGAACAAAGGTTTCTGTTAATGACAACCTACAATATCTGAAAACATTAGGAGTTCGGTGGTTGTCTGTGTATGTATTACAGTAATAAAAGCTTGAACATAGATTTACATGACATCTACTTTGACTGACAGAATGGTGCTTTGTATTGGAGATGGAGATAGAGACAAAGGAAGCAGTTCTTAGTTAGCTTGTTATAATCCCTCAAATTTTATTTGAACAGGATGTGGACTACTAAACTCCCTGGAAAGTTCTAGGGCCCCATAGACCTCTCTTTTGTGAGTTTGTGTGCATGTGCATGCAGTGCAAGATATTCAAGTAGAGGTTTCTGCTATGTTCCAAATTATTGCTCATCGGAGAGATGTCAGCAACTACTTTTGCATTAGATATTAATGCTATCATATTGTTTTTGATTTATGTGTAATATATCAATTATCACGCAGAAATATTCACACTTGCCGAAAAAGGATGGTTCTACTCTTAGGCCCAAAAGTTCCATGATTGAAAAGGCCATTAGGGAGCTAGAGAAGTTGGTTGCAGAATGTACGTGTATATATTTGTCTTGTACAACGTAATTATGAATAGTTCCTTTTAAAGTAATATTCTTTGTCCTTCCTGTCTTAAATATCGCAGCAAGGCCGCCTGCTATGGAAAATCAAGAGGCTGATACTTCATCCCAGGGGATTAAGAGGAGATTGCCTAGAGAAATAAAGCTCAAGCTTGCTAAAGTTGCTAGATTAGCGGTATGGGACGGTTTTTAACACTTTAGATCCTGTAAAATAACTCGTTTTCTGATTGAATTCTTTTTCAATAGCATGATGCCTTCAGGCAAAGATTAATTTTTTTCAATTTTATTTTGATATTTGTTGCAGGCAAGCCAGGGGAAAGTTTCTAAGGAGTTACTAAATCGCCTAATGAGCATCCTTGGTCATTTAATACAGCTAAGAACACTTAAGGTATCTTTCCTTGTCTATGAATATGACACTCACAATTTTTCAATTGCAATTCCAACTTTTTTCCCGTACTAAATCAAGTTTGAGAAGGGCTTGGAATATTATTGTGTTATGATTGCATGCCAACATGCCAATAACTCCCAGGTCTATAAATACTTTCTGTGAATCTCCCTTTTCTGCTGACATGGCTTTTGCTTTTAATTCATGTGATGTAGTTTCATTTGTTTCAATGAAGAAAAGTTGGTATGCCATACAGTTGACTACTTCTGACCATTGTAACTGCAATTATGGTGGCTTTGTATCGTAAATTAGTGCATATGTTTTGTGTTTTGAAATCATGCAATCAAATTTGTGAGATCTTGAAGCCTTTTTTACTTGTAGTTATAATCCAAGTTCATTAGGGAGCCCATTGTTGAACCATAACATTTTACAACTGTTGGTTGGCTGTCAAATATCTGACCAAGTTTTCTGACTCTAGAAGAGATTCTTGTGGTTTTCATCTTTATGCTTTGCAATGCAGAACTGGTAAAAGAATGAATGCAACAGGGCAAAACTATGTAAACTTTTATGCATTACTCTTTTTTTTTTCTTTTATGAAAGACTAAATCCTCTTGTTTGCTCTCAATGATCCTCTCCAATAAAGCCCTACCAATTTGGATCGTCTTTGTAAATTACATAGCTACTAATATTGAGGCAATATTTTGGACGCAGAGGAACCTTAAAGTCATGATTAGTATGGGTGTGTCGGCAAAGCAAGAAAAAGATGCTAGATTTCAACAGATAAAGAAGGAAGTCATTGAGATGATAAAGACAAGAATTCCTTCTTTTGAGACAAAGGTTTGTTTTACTCTCTTTCCCCCTCATTATTCTGATTTTTATTTTATTTCGTTTTCTGTTTCCTCTCTTAGTTTATCTTTGATTCAACACAGTAATATATCCTTTTTTTTTCTTTGAAATTTCTATACTGAAATATAGCCTTTATTCTGCTTTGCTTATGATTAAGCGCAAAAAATTTTCTTTCCTGCACTGTTCCATATAGGGCCTGCACTTCTGTTAAAATATGCATTTTCTCTTGTCACCATATGCGATTGTACTTCATTTTGTATCCCTTCTTATTTTCATGTGGATTGTTTAGTCTAAACACTTCTTCATTGTAGATTCCATGATTATTTTTCTCCTTGTTTTCTCTCTTTTTTTTTTATTTTTTTGCTCTCCATCCTGGTGTATAAGATCATGGTCTGTCATCTTGTTCATTGTTAGTTCTCTATATTATCAACTAAAGTTAGAAATTTTGCTGCTCTTGATGAAAAATTCATAATTGCTTTTCAGATATTGGAGCCACGAGCTGGAGCATCTGATGATTTTCAAGAAATTGGTTCTGAAGAAAGAGTTTTTAGAAGGAAATTTAGCATGGACGCATCATTGGAGAACAAGATTTGTGATCTTTATGACCTCTATGTAGATGTAATCATATATCCTAGTGTGACCTGTGACAAAATTTCATCTCTGTTGGGGAAATCTTCTTAATGAATCTTAACTTTGCTTTTTTATTGTTTAATTATTGTAGGGATTGGATGAAGATGCAGGTCCACAAATCAGAAAGCTTTATGTAGAGGTTAGGTGCTTATCATTTCCATTTCTACTCCCACAGTTACTATAGTCATAATGAAAATCTTTATATTGCTGGCATTAGGTGACTATGAAGTTGGCCAAATATGTCTCTGCAGTTGTTTCCTGATAGCTTTTGATAGTATCACCCTCTTGCCATTTGGATGAGAAGGGTGCATGAGACTGTTCTGTCTCTTTCTCTTCTACCCACTTTCTCTCTTCTGTTCTGTCTCTTTCTGTATTTCTTGTTTTTTCTTTTGAATCCTTCCCTTGTACAGTTGCACTCTTTTCCCCTTCAACTTCATCTTCTCTTTTTATAACTAAAAAGATACCTTAAGGGTTTGTTTGGCGTACAAGATTATGATAGGATAAAATATGATATAATGAATAAGATTAGATTAAATAATATCATCTTATATTGTGTTTGATGTGTGCAAGGTTTAAAATAGGAATAGTTTTTTTTATTGGTCAAAATTATTCTTCCTCATATTTAAATTATTGATGTAATTTTCAAGCGTATAATAGGATAGTTCAATCCCATGGATTAAAAATAATCCTTTCCACTTTAGGAGAATTGAATCATCCTATGCCAAAAGGATGATTAATCCTCTTTGCAATACTATCCCTTTCTTAGATACAAACCAAACATGGTATAGGATGATTATCATCCTATGCACCAAATATAGGCCAAATTGCTTGTTGCTCAAAAGAATTCCATAGAAATTGTTCTACATTGTCATTATTGTTCTTTTTGAAATAATTTGAATCAATCTTGTGATGTTCTTCTTGAGATCAATTCCTGCTTTTACCTTAAACAGACCACTTGTTCTTTGTTTTAGTCATTTCCTTTTGCGTTAATTTGTTGGTGAAGCTATTGATTATTGTTTCTAATGCTCAATTATGGTTCTATTTTTTCTGTTATATTATTTTCTTACATTTGGAGTTCATTTGTGAACAGCTTGCTCTGCTGTGGCCAAATGGTATGATGGACAACCATGAGATTAAACATGCAATTTGTAGGGCAAAGGAAAGACGGAGAGCAAGGTACAATAGACGCAAGGTACATAAAATTGCTTCTCTGCTTTTTGCCTTTGTGTTGGTGTATATACTTTAATTATTGGTGTGTATATGTTTTCAAATTAATCGGTAGATCTTCTGCATACTGTGTGTAATCCATCTTGACAATTTTTATTTACTTATGACATTTGAAGCCTCCTTAGGCTTGGCAACCAAAAACTATTTTTCCCAAACATGCACAGCACCCTAGCCCATGTTTGTGATTATTCTTAAGTTTCAGATTAACCCGTATTGGGTGGATGCTGGGTGTTTGACTTGCCCATGTTCTCTGTTTTTGGTGATATATTGTCTTCTATTGTATTGGTTGTTGGTTCCCATTCTGAACAGTCAGTGAGATGAGATGACAGACTTGCCATTTGTCTGTAGACAAAGATTTGTCTTCTTTTCTTTGATTGCTGTTTGCCTATTGCGTTAATTTTTGTCTTTTTTAAAAGGATCAAGAGAAAATCAAGAGGAAAAAGATGTTGGCACCAAGATTAGAGGAGAGTGTTCCAGTGGAGTCTGCCTCAAGTGCTCAGCCACAGCTCACGCAAGAGAGGTTGGCTACTGATTCTGGAAGTCATATTTTTCCTTCAACTAATAAGTCAATTTCACGAACAACAGCAGCAGCTACTGTACGGATTCCCAGTCCCTCAACAAATGTTTCCAGTCTGGACAGACTAAAACAGGAAAAATTAAAGGGCATTTCAAGCAACGGCATGGATGAAATAAAGGTGACAGATGGCTCACTGCCAAAGAAAAAGGTGAAAAGGAAGCCTGAAATGGAGATGGACGACTCTCGTTTCCGTTCAGAGAAGTTACTTCTGCAACAGGATGACGACAGGCACAAGTCCATGAAGCAGTCTGTGAATCTTCCCCTGAAATCAAACCTTCCGTCAACTGCTACAAGTTTCGAATAATCAACCTAACATAATGTCGTCCATTTAGGAGTTCACACCATAAAAAAAATGTGGTAGGTTCCTTTTTGTTCTTTCCTTCCCTACTCATTCTCACCTTTTAAAATTTTAATTCTTTTGTTATGGTGAGCTTCATCCCTTATGACATACTGATTTGTCACCTTTTCTGCTAGTACCATTTTTGTAATTAAATGTCCTTGCTCTTGCTTGCAGTCAAGTGCTATATGTTAAATAGGAGATACCAAAAAAGGTTGTAATATTCTCGTGCAAATGTATTTTCTAGGCAACTCTTCTTTCAGATGGAACCTTTAGATAATTTGCAAATGTATTTTCTAGCCCTTTTTTTTTTTTTTGGTCTCTAATTGCACTGTGAGTTGCATTTGAATAGCACTTCCAAGTGCAGTTGAGGGTTTTCAATTACACCATCTCTTCAATTGAAGACAAGAAGGGAAATGGTCTGATGGTTAATTTGATCTTAGGACAGTTCGATTGTATTAATGTAAAATTAAAACAAAAAACTATCTTTTGATTATTACAGTACAGTTGACTATCATATGCAATTTTCCTTTTGTATTTATATTCAGATGCATATTTTATTTTATTATTGATTTTAATAATCACTATATAACTAATTGAATATTCAATTCAAATGGACTAAAAAAAGAAGAATTCTAAAAGACGGCTCTGACAATATTTAAAATATAAAAAAAAAAAAAAAGGAAACTGAAGAATAGTAAGGGGAGCTTGATATAGACCATGCGCAGGCCCAGTAACCATCCAATTAACAAACAAAGCCTTAAGCAATAATCCATCTCTGCCCATGCCAAATAGACCCTTCCCGCGTTTTTTCAATTTTCCTTCTTCCTACCTCAACAATCTTTCCCCAAATTTAAACCGCGCACCACCACTCTCCCACTCTCCAAAACCTAACTCTATTCAACTCCCTATCTAATAGATCAAATTGTTACAAAAAAAAAATCCACGGAGTGAGGAAGAAGAGGAAAAAGATGATGATGATATGAAGGCGTTCACGTCTTCAAGGGATCGAACGTGTTCATATCAGGAAACCTCGTCTCTCCCCATGTCTTCGACAGGCTTCACGGTTTTCTCAAGGATAACGAAGCCCAAGTCTTCCTCTGTTGCGACCCTTCTCGAAATGGCCCCGGTGACTTCCACATCATCTCTTCCATTGATCACTTAATCTCCCTTTTTTTCCCGCCATTTTCATTTTACAAATACTTGAAATAATTTATAAAAGACATCTTTATTTTATTTATTTTTTTAATTACTTTTTTTTTCAGGAGATATTTGAGGGTCTTAGAGCTAAAGGCTGTAATTTGTTAGGTGACGTTTTCGAGTTGTCAACGTCTTTTTAAATTTACCGTGTTGTTGAAAATATTTTGTGATTGGGGCCTCGGGACCTCAATGTGTGATTTCCTTTGCAAAAGAAAATAGAACTTGACCTAAACAAGGATTTACTTGTTGCCTTGCAATGGACGGCCTCAAAGTACTGGCATCTGGTTTCAACATGGATGAGAAGGTATTGCAATTGGTGATCGTGTAAACACATTGATTCTTATCTAGTTGAATTACTTATATAAAACCCGAGTTTGGAGGGTTTCTTATGATGAGTATTCAGTACAGGTTAAGATTGAAAAATTAGTCACAGCGTAGGGGGGAGTTTTGCATGCTAAAGCATCTTTAGATGTTAGCTTCGTCATTGTAAAGAATGTTCTGGCTGCAAAGTATAAGATTTGATTCTTGTAAAATAATTCTCCCTCTCCTGCCTGCATGTGTCATGTTTGAGTGTGCAAACATTGTTTCATTGGCGTCTTTAAGAACTCTTTTTTAGGGCTTCGCCATTCTTAAAAACTATTAGGTTTTGTGTACTTAGAATGTATCAAGTGAAATCAGTTAAAACTTAATATTATTCCAAATCTTTTCCAACATGAGTAACGTGAGAAGGTATACAAAACAGATATATGATTCCTATTTCCTGCCCTCTTGGATATGGCAGAACCTTCATGCATGTGCGAGAAAAAGCTTCAAAATATGCCTGAAAGTGTTGGCTGTTCTCATCATGGGATATTTTAGTAATAAACTTTGAAACTTTATACAGAATGGCTGTTTTCATCATGGGATATTTTGGTAATAAATTCTGAAAATTTTGCACTTTCTACTTTGAATTTGAGTTTCGATAAATCCTGTTTATTAGACCATGAACTTTGGAGTGATTCTCTTTGGGGTTTCTTGGAGATACTATTGTCAAAAAGAAGCTAATGGTTCCTTAAGAGTTAAGATAAAAGAATTGATGTTATTAAATTGCTTATTCTTAGTTTCCACTCTCTTATAACACGAGCAATATACCTCAAGTTAATAATCCCCTATTACATCTATTTATGCAAATTTCATAAAGCCGTCTACTCATTAATATTCAAGGAATGTTATTTAGTTTTTGAGCCATTTGTATTTGTGTTGCATCTATTTGATGTTTATGCATTGCACCTCAATCAGCATTTTACATCCATCATGTACTATTCTCAGAATAATCATCGATGGCGAATTCTGTGGGAAAAATTGATTCTTAGCATTCAAAATGTCATTCATTTGTGATCTTAACTTTCTGTAAGCTCCTGAATGACAAGTATAAAGTTGCCCTAAGATGGGGTCACGTTCATATTGTAGTTCGGAAATGGTTTGATCAATCCATTTCTAGAACAGGTAATGCTATATGTTATTAATAAAGTCAAGCTTTAGTACTCTTGAGTTTATGACATCTTGATATTATTTGTACAACCATGTATTATCACTCATTTTAGACATTGTATCTGACGTGGATAATCCTTTTTGTCCCTGGTGGATAGCTTGTCTTAATGAGGAGTCCTATCCTGTCCAAGGTGGCTGTGCATCTTTAAAGAAAAGTGTGAGTGGTTCCTTGTCAGCACAGCATAGTCAAGACATGTTTAGGGGAAGTTCAGTGTCTGCAACCTCCTCAGTGGTTCTTGAATTTAATTTGTCCACTGTTCCTTCTACCGGATTGGGAGATCCAGATCTTGAAGTTAGTCTCACACAGAACATGTCTTCTGTGGCATCAGATGGCTGATATCATTTTTAAAGAGGATGGCGATGAAGCACCAACTTTGCAGGCCTCTAACGAAACAAGGCTTGATGGTTGTGTTGCCAATAACTCAATCGGAACTATAGAATTTCACTTGTTGGCTTCGAAGCTTCTGAAATGCGTAAGCTGGTTACCATGGCACGTAGAGGTGGTGCATCGCGTATATGTCATGTAAATAAATTGACGCACATGTTGTTGGGACTCCATCTGAATTGTAGGTATTTCTTTTTTTTTTTTCCAGACAAACTTGTGAATTTATTTCTTTGTTTCTTCTTTTCTTTCTCCATTGAATTTCCTCCTTTGGGTTCTTTTTATTTTGTGCTTTGGAAGCCATGCTTTAACATATTGTGGGCGTAGTGTGATGATGCTTTTGTTACATTAGCTATTCTGTGAGTATGCTGATTCTTCTCTTATTTTCATAAAGCTTTCTCTTTCACATGCTTGTCTTTTGGCCTAGGGAAAAGAAAGAGGTAAGAAGCCTTGCAGCTTCAGGTGTTATTCATGTGGTAAAGACTAATTGGCATCGCCAAAAGAAAGAAATCCCTGTTCACCGGAGGCATGTTGCATATGACTTGCTTCTTCCCAATGGTTGCCAAATATTCTCTGAAGAGAATCAATTGGTCTTCTGGTTGTATATCTTCATCTTGAATTCATTTTCATGCAGGATGTATTTTATTCTTTTTTTAAAGATTTTCTTACCATATAAATATAAGTTTTTGTTAAATAATATAAGGTTAACGAACTAGACAAAAAGGTTGTCTTTATAGAAACAAGTGATGCAAGAAAATTCAAAATTACCACTTAATATGATATTTTTTGGTCTTTCATATAACCGATTCCAGAATTATAAAATATAAAACTTAGTTTATTGTATAAATATAAGTTTTTGTTCTGATTTCTGTTGAATTAACAGATATCATCTGTTAGCTCTTTATAGCTTCTGTTATGCATGACTTTCCATGTTTAACTGATCAACATGTTTGCACAGAATCTGTGCGCTCCGTCAGAGGAGCTGTGACAGGAACGATCAGTTCGAATCAAAGTAAATCCTAGGTTCATACAAACTCTGGAACTGGAATGCCATCATCATTGGGGGAAAGTCTAGATGATAAACCCAAAATCAACATGAACAGTGACATTTCTTTGGAAGCTACTTTAGGATCATCCAAGCAAGGCCTACTTCCTATTGAAAATAGTACAAATAATGGTTGGCAGAAGCAGCAATGCGATTCCATAGTCCAAAATCTTAAGAAAGAGATGTCATCAACTGTATCTAAGGGGAAAACATTTTGTTCTTCAATTTCCCTTCCTGAAGATAGGGTAAGAATCTTGCCCTATAAAAATTGTGCCTTAGCATAATTTTTTGGTTGTGAATAGCTGAGACAATTCAGGTTCTTTGAAAATGTCGATATGTCTTTCCAGAAGAAATTACTGTAGAAAGCTTGAGAAAAAAAACTTACTAGTACTCACCATAACTATGGAACAATATGCTTAAAGGTTGCCAAAAGAATTTATGCTTGAGAAAATGACCACATGAATCCATTCACCTTCACATTGAGCAAACTAGTAAGACGATATTGATGTTCTTCTGCACCACCTAATTTTTTTTATTGTGTTCAGATTGCTGGTTGGTTGACTTATTGCTTCTTTTAAGATTCATGAGCAGAAATCACCGGAGAGGAAGGGGTGTGATAGAAGTGTATCAATATATTTGTTGGTTTTTCCAATATTAAAATCTCTACTTTTCATCTCTTATATAACTTTCTGCATTGATATCAATCCTTGCTGGTAGAACAGATTTTTTCATCTGATTGTATGGGCCTTCGTCAAGACCCTACTGATTCTCATTCTGTTATTGGGTTATCTAGACGCTGCTTAAGCAGGTAACCTCTTTATATTATAACCAAATAATTGTTAACCCTTTTACCAATTAACTAATGGCTGAACTAGTCGTGATTCCCTTGTATATGCTTGCTAAAGCCTAACAAAGAACCTACTGAATTTTGGGACAATAGCCTGGCCAATGAGGAATTATTTTTCATTGTAGCAGGTAATATTGTTTCATTCTCATCTCCGACTGTCCTTATGCTTTTTTCAGGACTGTGAGAGAAGATGAAATTTGCAGTTTTTCTGGAGATGTGAAAGATGGTGGCCTATATGATGGTTTCAGTGAGACACAAACGGAGTCTCAGGTTTCAGATCTTACTTGTGTTGAAAGTTTCTTTCCCCCCTCTGTTTCAGCTGTTTTCTAATGAGTTTAAATCTGTAAAGGACCTGTGATTATTGACTTTGAGAGAAGATAAAAATAAGTAATCCCAACTTTCAGTCTGGAGTCACTTTGTCATTCATCTAGTTTTTCTGCATAATGTTAGTGCTTAACACTGGAAAATGAAGATTGTGGGTTATGAAGAAGATTTATTCGGACGGCAAATGCTTATAGACCGAGCTCGCACCCTAAGTAGCATGGCCTGAAGTACTGGACGTCCACCCTTGACATGCAACCAAATGAAGTTTGATGGTAAACTCAGGTCTGTTCTCAGTCTCAGCCTTAATGCATCAATCATATTTTTAACCTTGTCCATGTACATGCTCTGAACCTTATCAATCAAGTTTTCAGAGATAATGCAAAGGAAATTGTAATAATTGTACATGCATGTATTTTGAGTCTGTAAATCATTTATTGATCTGAGGAAAAATAATGTGCTAATTTTGTCTATTCTAATCGGTTATTCTTGTGAATTATTTTGAACTATATAACTTCTACTTCATCATCTGATGCTGAGAGTTCTGATGGGCACTGGAAACTGGAAAATGATGAGAAAGAAAACAAAAGTACTTTGATCTTTTTTTTCCCATGTGCTGCTTGCTTGTATAGAGATGTATGTGGTACATGTTCTGCAGAGGCATCTATTTTCTCTAAAATAATGGGAAAATGAGGAAAATCACAATAATAATGAAGAAGAACTAGTGCTGATATATATGAGGAAGTCAAAAACTCGAAAGCTGTATCTTAAACTAAAGAGTAGAGCTCATAATATATATATATATATATATACATATATATATTTATATGATTCTAATTTATAGAGCCAACTCAGCAGAAGCATGAGCATTTCATCATGTTCATCACCCAGAAAAAGCCCAAACTCCAAACCGCAAACACCGTAGTAATATAGTGTAGTCACTTGGGCTCTCTATCCTTTCCTGCAATTTTATTTTTTATGGAAAGAAAGGGCTCTCCCCGTAGCAAGACTTTATCATATACTAGCCAACAGTCATGCGATTGGTTGGGTAGAGTACTAGATTGTTAATTCTAATGATCAGGGTTAAATCCTGGTAGTCTTACGTATAAAAAAATAATAAAAAAACCTTAGTCGTACTAAGAGCCATTTACCAAGACAGAACAGTAAAAGTTAACAGAGAAAAACAAAAGAAAAAGAAAAACTCTCATCTCATTTTTTTTAACTTATCTTCTTGCTGCTACATGGCCCTTACAGCTTGGAACCTTGGTTCTTTAGGCAGGAACTTTTGCTGAACATAAACAGATATGTAGTCACCAAAAACAAACCTGGGATAAATTTGTTCCACTTCTTGGTGTGTTTTCTCAACCAGCTGTGGTGCAGGAGCTATGGTGGCCTTAAGGGATGGATTGTAAAATGAAGCAATTGATCTCCTATTCCCCTCAGTGGAGCTCAAAACACGGTGCCAAGTACTCTTGTACCGGCCATTGCTTAGGACCTCTATCTGATCACCAGTGTTGATGACAATCGTGTTTGGCAAGGGCTGAACATCAATCCATTGCCCATCTTTCAGGATTTGAAGGCCTCCTACTTTGTCATCTTGGAAGAGTAAGATCACACCGCCTGCATTAGTGTAAGCTCGAAGACCATTCACTCTCTCAGGGTGAGGACATGGTGGGTAGTGGCTAACCTTGGTGCCAAAGAAGGCATTCTCACCTTCTCCATCGTTGAATGCCATCTTGATGTATCCCTTTGGTAAGCCTAAGTTTTCATCCATTACTTCCATGACTTTTTCAGCCAATTTCTTTAACTGAAATCCATATTCCTTCATGGTTTCCCTGTTATGTCAACAAGTTCATATATATCCGGTCTTAAAGCAAGCATTTAATGAATTAACTTGTTAAGAACTCATAGAGTTGTGCTTACTGGAATCCAGGTGTTCCGGATGGCCACTCATTATCGTCCAAGAAAGTAATGACATCCTCCCAGTCCAAACTCTCCAAACTTTCACCAATCTCATCCAAGAGATTCACCACCTTTGAGTTCTTGAAATTCTCTTCCCTTTCCATCTCATAGAACTCGGATGAAACCTTCTTTACCCTGTCCAGCAGCTCCTCAGGAATCCCATGGTTCACCAGCTGCAACAAATATGCATGATATAGATAGACTAAAAGTAATGCCATTGTTTCCTATGTTTAAAGATGACAAAAAAGTACCTGAAAAAACCCCCATTCCTCGCATGCATTTGCAATGTGAGCCAATGTCTTGGCCCTCTCCTTACCATTGAGCTTAGAGAAATCAATCGTCGGAATTGCCATTGAAGTGATGACTAATGAACGAGAAAGAGATCAGACGACTAATGAAAAAGTAGCAAAAGAGACTATGTTTGCACTTTGATTTGTGGTTGACAAGCTAGGGAAGAGAGGTTGGCCCTATTTATAGCAAAGCAAAAGCAAGGTTCTCTGCTATTGGATTTCTCCATTTTTGTTGAAGTCCCTTTCTTGTTTCTCGAAGTAGCCGTTGGGGTGAGGTATGGGACGGTGACACAATGATTGATTAATTAAATCAAGAAAAACAAGACCAATGCTTTGAGATGTTAGTGGCAATCCACAACAGAAGCATACTTTCTCTCAGGGATAATAATATTGCTGATAAAATTTTTATACTCATGATCAATTTCCTATAATTAAACTCTTTAATCATCATTACTAATTAATAAATTAACTTTTCCTTGAAAATTGGCTAAGATGACATACATGTGATGCGATTTTTGGAGATGGCAGATTCGAGGATTCGTTATCATATCTTATGAATCCTCCTTGCAAGTAGATAAAGATTGAGGATTAAAATAGATTAAAAAAAAAAAAAAAACTTCTTTGCTATTACTGCCACTTATCTTTAAATTTCAATATAACGATGAGTTCATCTTGAATTCAAATATTCAATTAAACCCCAAGTTTATTTTCAACAAATAAGCCGCAATCCAAGTAATGGTTCATCCATCTGCCAGATAATTTCAGTCCAAAATCCAAATAATACAGGTTAGGTGGCATGATCAACTTTCATTCACGTGGAATATATTCTCTTTTTCTTTCTCATCATAAATTACTTTTGTTATAACATATAAATCTGTGGACTTATCGCTAGACATGGATGAAAGGGAGTCGTCATCAATTTTTTTTAATAAGGTGTGATTGGTCAACTAATACTTATCTTAATCTGCGATCGGGTTAGGTTAAAGTGCGAGTCAATACGCGGATCACTGGTTTACACGCAGATCTTGGTTGTTTCAAAACGATGTCATGCTGGGCCAGTATAAAAGGCACCTTTAAGCATTTTTCTTCAAAAATCTCAAAGCCTCTCTATCTCTAGTCTAAAAAAACATTTGCCTTCTCTCTAAAAATTCGCAGGCAAATTTAACCAAAAACTAAAAATCTCACTGGTTTCTAAGGATGTTACTAAAAAATTCAACTGAAAACTGAAAAACTAATTGATTTCTGGAAAACGTGCTGAATTCTAAAAATCTTGCTGGAAACTTCAACCTTGGTCGAAAAATTTCGTCGAAAAATTCAAAGTTTTTTAAAAAAACCTATAAAACTTGAAAAACTCAGATTTTCTCGAATTTTTTGCATATTTATCCAAATTTCTCTTAGATTACTCCTAGAACCTCCCGGAATCATCTTGAGCCCTAGTCCTAACCTAGAAATCTAAAGTCAAACCCACAATTTCGGATTGAACTCTAGAACTCCAAAATTATACTGTCATAACCCTTTATACCCAAAATTTCCCAATAAATTTCTCCTGCATTTCTTGTGTCCTATGTTCTGTAAAATCAATCCAATTTATAAGCAGTCCTAGGAACAATTTTAGGAAATGGACAAAATCAATCTCAAGCTTGAATCCTTGGATTGCATTCTATCCAGCGTGATTTCTAAGTCCAAAATTCCCGTTGTTGACATGATACATAGGGATTTTGATCCCCTGTTTTCTCGTCCACGTGTAGATTTGAACAGAAAAAGAAAGAAAGAACAAAGAAGAAAAGAAAAAAAATGAAAATAGAAATATAATAGTAATAATAATAATATAAAGAAAAGAAACACAAAAAAATAAAAATAAAAAAGAAAGTAATAATAATAATAATAATTTATAAAAAACTATTCAATTGAACTTGGGCATGGAAGTGCCTAATTTGACCTAGACACAAATAGGCCTAATTAGTCCCAGACGTCAACGGCCTAATCGAGCCCAAACATCAATGGGCCTAATCAGGCCCAGACGTTAACGAACCTAATCAAGCCTGGACATCAATGGGCCTAATGATGCCTAATCAGGCCCAAACGTTAACGAGCCTAATCGAACCCAGACATCAATGGGCCTAATAGGACCTGGACATAAATGGATGTCTACAACTATCCCTCTTTGTATATCTTTGTTAGACAAATATGATGCAAAGACCTAGACACCTATTCTATTCAATTCAAATCAGCGAGTAAAATTGACTAAGGATAAACTTCGAGTCGAAAGTTAAATGATCTGATCTAAACCAAGGTTGAATGATTGGGACAATGCTCGAGTCGAAAGACGATCTGACTGAAGCCGAGATCAAATAACTGGGATGATGTCGCAAGTTTGAAAGTGGCCAAGACTAAGTTGAGATCATAAATAAATGGCTAGACTGATGTCACAAGTCTAAAGATGATTTGACCTAAATCAAGATCAAATGACTGGGACAATGTTGCGAGTCAAAATAAAGTGACCAGGACTGAGGCAAGGTTGAAAATAAATAATCGGATTAATATCGCGAGTCTGAAAATGATCTGACTTGAGTCGAGATCAAACGATTAGGATGATGTCATGAGTCAAAATAAAACGATCAGGATTGAGTCGAGGTCGAAAATAAATTATCAGACTAAACCACAAATCATAAAAAATGATCTGGACTAAGTCAAGATCAGATGAGTGGAAAATGCAAGTGCATGTCTTATGCAAATGAAACATCAATTGTGGTACTAAAGCTTCTGTATTCTCATTTCTATACACTTTTAGCAAAGAAATCATCTTTTATTATGCTAAATATTTATCTTCACTATACATTTTAGCGAAAAAATTATCATTCATCAACCTGAATACACATCTTTGGTAAAAAAACTATTTTTCATCAACCTGGAGGCGCATTTTGGTAAAGAAACCATCTTTCATCAGCCATGAGGCACATCTTTGGTAAAAAACTATTTTTCATCAGCGTGGAGGCACATCTTTAGCAAAAAAACTATTTTTCATCAACGTGGATGTTTATCTCTTTCCCAAGGAAAGCCATAGAAGTCAATTTTCCATCTTTTTTTTTAGGACGCATTCATCATTTACCTTTATCTCTTTTAATTCTTCAAGGCAACACACAACTTCTTATGACTTTGTCCAATTATTAATCATTATCCTAAATTTAAAGTGTGGGATGTAAGTTATGCATTTCTTCCATTCATGAATAGGTATAAAGAGAAAAGACAAATATATTGGCAATGTATAAAACTAGGAGAGAATAATAAGACGACTTTTATTTATTTGGATAAGCAATAAATTACAAAAGAGGGTATTCAGGAACAACTATTTGGGGTAGCAATGCCCCAAGATAAATGATTAGATAACCATGATAACAAATCATGGATCTCTTCAAAAACTCAATCAAGATATGATGCTTCGACACTTCAAAGCTCTTTGAAATTCACTATCGTTGGTATGCCTTCCCAAGTGATGCCATGTTCTATTCATCCAAGTTTGCTTTCCTTCGATTCCAGTGACCTTTAAAAGTTTTCGACTTGAACCTTTTTCCTTTAGATTCAAGCTACCTTTTTGGGACCCCCTTTTTTTGTTTTTTGTTTTATTTTTTATTTGGTTTAAGTTGCTCTTTCGAGTTTTCACCTTGAACTCTCTTTTTTTTTTTTTTTTTTTGGATTAGGCAAAGTATTTCTTTACTGCATCAAAATTAACAAGACTAGGAAGTTCATCTCCATCCATTTTTGATGAAATTAAAGCTCCTCTGAAAAGATTTTTTTTACAACGTATAGTCCTTTCCAATTTGGGGTCCATTTCTCTTTATCATCATGTTGACTTGAAAGAATTTTTTTCAGTATTAACTCTCCTTCTTAGAATTGATGAGGACTAACATTTTTGTTGTGAGCTCTCATCATTCTTTTTTAGTACAATTGACCATGGCAAAGTACCGTCAATCTCTTCTCCTCAATAAAGTTCAATTGTTCATAGCGTTCCTGAATCTATTCAGCTTTTTCTAATTTCATTTCCCTTAAAACCCTTAACGATGAGATTTCTACTTCTACTGACAGTACAACTTTCATTACATAAACTAAGAAAAAAAAGAGTTACCCCAATAGAGGTGTATACGGAGGTTCGATACACATGTAGAGCAAAAGGTAATTTCTCGTGCCAATCCTTGTATGTTTCAGTCATCTTCTTCAAAATTTTCATGATATTTTTATTTGCAACTTCTACTACCCCATTCATTTTTAGGTGGTATGGGGTGGTATGGGGCTAAATTGTGGTGTTTAATCTTGAATTGAGCATATACTTCTTACATCATCTTGTTATTGAAATTCTTTGCATTATCTAAGATGATTCTTTCTAAGAGCCTATATCTGTAAATTATTTCTCTTTTGATGAATTTGTAAACCATTAATCTAGTCACAGTTGTGAAGAAGGTAGCTTCAACCCATTTAGTGAAATAATCAGTTATCACAAAAATAAATATATGCTCGTTTGAGGCCTTTGGTGTGATTGGACTAATCACATCCATTCCTCATATAAAAAATAGCTAAAGTGGTGCTATCACATATAAGACACTAGGTGGAGCACGTATCTTATTAGCATGAATCTAGCATTTGTGACATTTTCAAACATAGTTAATACAATCTTTTTTCATTGTCAACCAGTAATATCCAGCTCGCATAACCTGTCTTGCCATCATATGCTTATTTGCATATGCTCCACATACATAATTGTGCACCTCTTCAATAATCTTTTTGGCTTCAGATGCACTTACACAATGTAATAACACTTAGTCTTTGCCTCTTTTATACAAAATTTTCCTAGCTAAAAAGAATCACATGGCTAATCTTCGTAAGACTCTCTTATCATTTTTTATTGCTAAATTCAGGTACTGCTGATTCTTTAGATATTACATAATATCATGGTACCAGGAGTAGCCATCCTCCTCTTTTTTCAAGTTGGCACAATGTACTGGCATGTCCTTGATATCGAATTTGATAGGTTGAATTTCAATAATATCATCGATCCATACCATTGCAGCCAAGGTAGCCAAGGCATTTGCAATTTGATTTTCTTCATGAGGCAAGTGTTCAAATTGAATTGCCTTGAATTGTTTACATAGCTCTAAGATGTACTTGTGATAAGGAATAAGCTTTGAACCCCCTGTTTCCCATTCACCTTTTAGTTTATAAATGACTAGAGCTGAATCCCTAAACACCTTTAATGTTTCAATTTTTCTATCTAAAACAGCATGCAATCCCATGACACAAGCTTTATATTCAGCTACATTATTTATGTAGTTAAAATTCAATCTTACCGTAATAGGATAATAATGTTCTATTACAGATATTAAAACTGTTCCAATCTCATGCCCCATAGTATTAGCTGCCCTATTGAAATACATCCTCTATATCTCTTCATCATCCTCCTCTAACTCTGAGATGGGCATTAGTTCTTCATTTGAAAAATCAAGCTTCATGGGCTCATAATCATTAGTAG